TTTATGTAACTGTGCTGAGCCCTAAGAAGCTAAAGATGATGTGAGGAGCTACCACCTTTTCCAGCTGTCTCATATGCTGTGATTTGGTACATACCATCTCAACACGGTTCATGCCTTTTCGGCTGGATAGGTGTGGGAATGCCTTGCTTATAGATCTGGTTAAGAAGATTTACGGGAGATTGGTGTCCAGTATGGTCAAGACTTGCACAATTCTAGGCGTTTTGAGGAAAGGATGTTCAGTTGCCTTTGGAGCCCCTTAGATCAACTCAATGGGCAGACAGTTTTGCCCAGATCCCATGCTCCAGTTTTGGAGCCATTTTGCCCAGATCCCATGCTTCTGACACTGCTTCCAATTTTTTTGTAGATCCTGTGTTCTTTCTGATCTTCTGGTCTCTGAGTGGACTTTGGTGAAATATATTACTGGAAGTCAGTCAAATTTGAGTAGCCTTTAGTAGAAGATAGATGAATGGGAGAGTGTTTAGGATCTGAATTTTTCATTCACAGCAGTGGAAACCTCTTACTGATTTGAATGGGCCACAAACAAGTGCATTAGGAAATCCTCTAAGCACTGTCGAGAATCACCTGGTTATTTTTGGAGGATTACCCAAGATGGGGATGCTCTGGAGTGGCAGGACTTTAAACTTGTATGAGAATTTATCAGGTATTAATTAATGTCAATTTTTCATGTATTTTAATAGAAACCATTTGTTTTACATAACCTTTTGTAGGGAAATCTCATTATTATGCATGGTTGACTTTGTGTTTTTTCTATGGCTGTTTCACTTAGTTTTTTGAAATATGCATGAATGGTTTAATTTCATGTAAAAACTGTCTATGTATAAACCTAGGCAACTGTCAACAGAACTATTGTCTCTTCAGTCTGCTAGAAAAATAATTCACAACATGCGTGTATGGGGCTGTGATTGCCAGAGCCTGTTCATGGTGACAGGTGTTGGATGTTCATCTGCTAATTTCTCATTAGAAACAATGTGGTAGGCTGATGATGCAATTTGGTCATTGGAGGCCCTGTCTTGATTTCTGTTTATAAAATGTATGGCTATGTTTACTGAAATAGTTTAAAAAATAGTAGATGCGTTTTCAATTTTTTGAAGTTTGTTATAGAAGTATTTTAAGATGAAAATATTTGTTTTCTCATTGCCAACAAATATCTGTTATCTGTGATCTGTAATTAGGCTCACAGCTTAACGTAAAGGACGAATGGTGCTCGCTGAGCTGCATCATTGGCCTTATTGTGGTAAAATGACCGATTTTGTTTTACCAGCTGTGACTTTGGAGGCAGGCTGAATGACAGGGAACACATAAAGCTCGACAGATTAAAATATTTCCAGCACATAACTGTGTGTGTATCATTCAGAATTCAGCAGCAGTTCTTGCTTGATAAGCTTGCTAATGTCTTCATGTTCTAAGGAACATTGTGCTCCTGTATGGGGTGTCTTGTACAGGCTCAATCCTGCAGTCCTCACTGAAGCAGAACTCCCAGTGAAAAACAGCATCAGTATGACCATGGAAAGCACTGAATACAAGGGTAGAAAAACTCCTCACAAGAGCAATGTGTCTGCCTAAGGAAATAGAGCATGTAGTTCTGTGACTAATTATGAATTATAGAAAGAACTAAAGGAAAAAAGACACAAAGTTGGGAAATAAATGGTTGATTACTCATCTTGTATCAAAAGAGGACATTTTCAAAAGACAAGCCAATACCCGCTTTTTGCAATAATATTCATATCTACTTCTCACAATTTCCATCACTTATAGTAGAAAATAAGACTATATTGTCCTTTAGCTTCTTATATATGTAGCAAGGATGATTGAAAGGTTGCATGCAGAGCATTCTAATTTTATATTAAAAGAGTAGAATACCTTATGTCAGCAAGTTAACAAGAAGTAGCTTTTTAGTTTTTCTATGAATGTGTTCTGAGTACTGCAGAAACAGCCAGATGTTGGTGAAATGCAGTGATGTTGGCTGATGCAAGTATGCAAAAGCCATAGAACTCCATGTGTTGGATTTAATATAGTCTGGAATCACAAATGGCCCTAGTTTGATCTTTGAGTTGAAGTGGTGAGGCAAGTGTTGCTTCTGTGTGGTTTAGCATCTGATAATATATGAGTTGTTTTACCTTTTGTCTTTAATGTGATATGAATTGCAGATATCTTAATGGATTATTAATTTCAAACTGCAAAAGCCTTAGTGTGCTCACAAAAAAGCTTAAAGTGAGTTACCCTTGCATATCTGGCTTTTTGTGTTATCCTAGAATTTGAGTCCTTAATGCAGAAATCCACCTCTGGAGGTGCTATGGTAGCCATGGTGTTTTCTGCTGTCACCGTGAAACAGTTTGTGGTGTCTTAGGTAAAGTGAAGGTAGGAAGCTGACCCTCTTATTCCCCTTTCTGGAAATCCTTTATGGACATGATGCCAGAAAAGGGTGAGCCAATTTTGTACTTTGTAGTTAAGTAACATCTTTCATCAAGGGGAACCAATGTACTTTACGGATGCTAATGAATTAAGGTTCTGGTCATGTTTATCAGCTCAATTTTATAGATGGGATACCTGAAGCATCAATTTAGTTACTGAAGTACAGAGGACCACTAGTTCCATGTTTTTACTACAAAGGCACTAAGAATAGCATAGTATCTTCTGTCAACAAATACCAAAATATCAAGCTCAAGAAAACATCTGTAGAGTTACAGATTTCTTGCTTGTGTTGATTTGGTACATGGCATGCTCAGTCACCTCTAAGAGAGTAGCTATCAGTGAGAACTTAGTAGCTTAGTAATTTGTTGGACAAAACATGTTCTGTGTGGTTAAAAACATGGCTTTCTCCATTAATCATTAACCCACAGATGACTAAATGTATTTCCTGAATGACATCTGCTCTCCTGGTCTGTTCTTCCATGATGAAATCCCACCTGTTTCCATCATAACATCTGCAACTAATATAAGTATCTCTGTGTGTTTTTTTCAAACAGTTCCTTGTGAGATTATTAATAGAGCCTCCAAACCATACACTTTTTGTAAGCATTGTTGTTACCACCATGGAAAGACTTCAAGAACAGTGTGAACAGAAAAGACAAAACTACATATTTCATTAATAGTAACTGAGCTTTTGAAAAAGCAAATAACTTTGCAGTGAAATTCAAAATTTCACAGCAAATATTCAGTACACAGTGCTGGTATCATTCTAAAAAGAAATACACTGTACTTCACAGTACAATAAAAGTTGGTCTTCTCAGAATCCAAATTGTCAGATAGAGCACCATTCCTGCAAAATAAAGACTAAAAACTTATACTAACCCTATCTGGCTGTCCCTTAAAGCTGTTTGCAGAGTTCATGCATGTGGGATGTGTGGACTGATAACCATTTTCATTATAGAGAAGGAGGTTTTTAAAGTTTACCTTTCTTTGATACAGGGTTTTTTTCTGGGAGTGTCTCTAGAAATACTTTTCTATGTCTTTTTTATGCTTGTAAAAAATCAGATTCTGTGACGTGCATGAACATATGAGCCTGGTAAATGGAAGACAACCCTGAAACGTTATTGTCATTAAAAATAACCAATCATATTTTTTTCCTAATGATAAATTTGATAAGTGATGCACATCTCAAACATTCTGGGTTTCTTCACTTCATGAAGAAAATTGTGTTCCCTGAGTCTTCTGTAACTGAAAAGTAATGACATTTTCATCTCGGAAAACATGTCAGCCTGCAGTGAAATTAGATGACTGCGTTTGTTTTGAATAGGTACAGATGAATAAAAATGGCCCATCGTTGTAATTTTTTTTTTAAACCATTTTGTTTGGATTTTTGAGGGTAACTGTTAAATGGAACTACTCTTTGAATGAATATACATCAAAAATTCAAGACTAGTAAGCAGATCAGCACTAATTTACATTGTTTATGCTGTTTGTCTTTTTGTTTTGTGAGCTGTTTCCAAGCAGTGTCATGCTATGGAATGTGGCCCCAGTATAAATGAGGTGATTCATGTTACAGTCCAGACTAGTGAGTGTTTCTGTTGTAGAATAAGTCTTATTGTGAATTTTTTTTTTCTGCCAGTTCAGTAATATATGGCCCTTTGTATTGAGCTCTCAAATGCAGCAAAAGACAAATCATTAAGGTTTCATAAAACACAAGTTTAATCTTAAAAAGTTAAATAGACTTCAGCACTTATCAAATCTTAAGTTGCAGAAGAAACCTCTGAAAGATAATATAGTATAATATGTGATCCATGAACGCTTCCTGCTATAGGTCGGTCCACTTAAATTTGAGCCACTTAAAATTTGGTTCACTTAATACGACCTATAGGCCTTGCTCTGTATGTTTATGTAATTTAACTGTAACAGTAACAGTCAGAAAGGAAAGTAATTATATGCCAACTAACATGGAACCCATCCGAGTTTAAAAAATTATTCTTATGGAAGGCCATCTTACTATGTAATGTAAAAATACTGTCTGCTAAATGTCACTTTAAAAATAACATCTATTTTTAATAGTTTTAGAGCTTACAGTGTCATCCAAACTGAATACGGATTGAAATCCGACTGAAAATCCTACAGATTGTTGACAGTTTGGTAGTTCTTATGATGAAGATACCCATACTTAAAAAAGTTTTGGTCAGAGTCAGTGATCTGGGGTAAAGGGCTAAAGTGGTGTGATGGCTGGGTTAATATTCCAGTTTCAGTTGATCCTTCCTGAGTCAGGCTGAATTGAAAGAGAAATGTTGGGAAGCGCACTGTGAGCTATACTACCAACTTCAAAGTTGTTGGCGTAAAAGGAGAAGGACATAAAAAGAGGAGAACTGTCAGTGAATAAGCAGCAGCAAGAAAAACCCAACAGGCTTCTGAAGGGGACACACAGACAATTTGAGCATTATTTTCTCTATCATAATTTTCTCCCTAGTGGAACCAGTATCATCTTTGTTGACTACCTGTGAGATAATTCCAGTAAACGTTAACATTTTAAACCCTCAAACTTTGTATTTTTTCAGAAATCCTCCTCCTACTTTGCTACATCCTGAAAAATGGTGCAGAGGATTCAACCATTTCATTTCACAGTGAGTTTTATTTTCTTTTAAAAACAGCTTATTCAGCAAGGCCTACATGTGTCAATCTGAAAACAGAATTTGTTTTATGGAGTTACTGCTTTTGCAGGTTTTTAACTTCAGTTTTCTTTTCATGGGCTCTAGACCATGCTTCACTATACAGCACAGTTTGATCTTCTCATGTAATTTGCTTCGCAACTTCTCTGAACTCCTTAGCTGATTTGCTTCTTGACTTTGATGGACCTGGGACAGGTTTATAAATATACCTTATTTCCTTGATGGTTTTTGCAGTGAAATTTTGAGTCAAGGAGAAAAAAGGGTTAGTTAAAATGACTGCTGGTCAATTTAATATAAGAATTTGAAAGACAAGAAAGAAAATGGTTGCCTTTTTCCACTTTACTAATATTCAGTAGGTTGTATACCCAATATATGTAATTGAGCACCAGTTGTATGAAGAGTGTAATATGTTACCTAGATGGTACCAACTTTCTGGATGCGTCTGTCACTGAACTAAAATATGCTTTTGCTTTACTTTTTTCTTTTTACAGTGAAACTAAAAAAATCACAATTTAGTAGTTGCTAGCATTATATTCAAAAATCTTAGAGCAACTTTTATGAGTGATTTTTAGGGTTCTTCAGGATTTCATTGTGACCTATTACAGCCTAAACTTTGTAAAATGGGGAATAATATTATCAAACCCTAGGGAAGCTTACACTGTTCAAATAACCAAATCCTTTGAACACTGCTCCTCAGTGTTGACTTTTCAAGATAGGTTTGAAAATATGCACATCTGCATTTTGAATCTGTTCTGTTCCTTAACGTATCTAGTTACTTGTGGAGGAGTACAATATCCCTACCTGATACCTTTTTCAGTCAGTTGTGTAGTAGTGTCTTGCCATTTTAGAAAATAAAAATAGAAAGACTAATGCAAATTCTATTCATAATCCATGAAAAATATTCTTATTAACTATGCTGATCTTTAATGAGGCAGTAAGGTGAGGTACACTGTAACGGTTGGCCTACAGAGGAAGGCCATTACTATCATTACTGCAATGTAACTCAGAATCTCTTCCAGTGTAGATAGTAGAAGTACATTCCTCTAGAGCAGATTGACCCAAGTTCCGTTTCTCCATAATGCATGTCTTTGTTTAAACAGCAGTGTACGTTGTGATCTATGGCGGAATCAGGTTTAATTACAAAAGTCACTGGGTGGTGGATGAATTCCATTCTATTATAGAGAAACATTGTTTTTACGGTATTTATGGACTGTAGCCTATATTCTGGGGGACTCTAGCACTGGTGGGTTATATTCCACTTGTGCTTTAGAGAGTCAGTGCACCTGGTAAATAAGATTACATTCCTTTCTCAGAAACATTGTGCATTAACCTTCAGCATTGTTATACAGGTTTTTCTTCCTTGTTTTTAGAAGTCCCTGCTGAGCTTGAGAACAATACAAAAAACTAAGTTTAACATTTCTTAACATTTATTCAGTCCTTTAGTTCAGCATGCACTGTTCATAAAAGAAGTCAGAGGTTAGTACTTTATGGCTGTACTTGTTTTTAATCTTGTCCTTTGGGTTTTTGATATCTTCAAATTGTATATTTTTAATCACATTGATTTTTAATTACTTTTGCTTAATTACTTCCTCTCACCAGCAACATCTGCAGGTTCTCAAATCTTGCTTTTCATTTTTACAGTAATACACACAATGAAGTAAGGAAGTATGCTCATTTACAGTCTCTTAACATGGAGAAATGCAACAATTGTAATAAATATGCTGGTTTTATAGCTACCTTTAAGAGAACACTGAAATGGAATTCTCTGTGACATTGCTTCATTCTCGGGCATGTGTTAGTAAAGTTATTATGATGCAGAGGTTACAAGATATTTTTTTGGAGGCTTGGATTTACATTAGTGGATTTTCTAGAAAAAATTAAATAATGAAACATTGGATGATACAACTGCAAACCTTTTAGCCATTACTGATAATTGGCTCATTTATATGCATTAGTTATGCATTTGTTAATGCCCACCTTGTGACAGCTTAGTTGTGATAAATTAAAAGCAGTGATTGTATAAATTCCATACTGCCTTTTATCCATATGTTAGGACCTCGCCTGATGTTTCTGTCACCCTTGTGATGAGTGGTTAGCTTTCGAATAATTTCATTATCTACCTCCTTCCTGATGGCTAACATCATTTGCATAACAAGCGTATCTGGTTCAAGTTGTGGGCCAGACCTGTATAGTGACAAAAACTGAGCATGCAGCTTTGGCTAAGGATACTTTTGACTTCAGTTCTGTTTACACAAGTATTTTATTTACGCCAAGATTGCCAAACCTGGTCATTGTAGCTTTTTTCATCTCCCATTCTCATCCTTTGAAATGCCACTGTCTCAAGAGGCATTTTTGTTATAAGTGTTCTCTCACGTATTACAGTGATTTACAACATGCCTGAGCTGGAAGTTTCAATGTACTTTTGTAGGTAACTCTTTAAACTGTTAAAATAGTAATCATATACTTTTCAGAAATGAAGTCTGTATTTTTAACTATGGTTCTACTGCCCCAAGAGATATGATTTTGCAGCAGTATTTTAAAGTCAGATGCATTATATAAAAAATCTGAATGGAGAGAGGGTCAAGATAGTTCTTAGCTTGGTGAATTTATGTTTCTATTCCCAGCATTGCTGACCTTGACTTGAGATGAAGACTGGTATGTGTTGTCCTCATAAGGATTTTTACAATGAGATAGCTAATCTGCGTTAGATATTTTGTTTTAAAAAAATACAGACAAGACACAATTTCAGCCAAGCCATCTCTGGCAGCAGCCTAATTTTGTATTTGGTATCTACTGAGATACACGCAGCACATACATACTTTTAAAAGGTCAGTAAAATTCTATGTATGCCTATCTATCTAGCCTGTAAGGCCAGGTAAACAACCACATCAGTTGTTGGAGGATTGGCTCCTAAAAACAATATACTTTAACCTATGTTTATTTCTATGTTGAAATAAAATATCAGTTTTGAAGAGTTGACTCTATTCATTGCCCATGAATGTTTATGAAGCTTTTTTTTTCCTTTGGATAGCTATAGCATAGATCACATTGCTCTCTTAAGATAACAGTTTGTGTCCACCACCATTTTAGACATACAGTGCTTCAGAATTCATCCATAAAATAATAGACTATATGTTAAAATGAATTAAAAAACCGCCATTCACTACAATTATCTCACATGCTGCAAATAATTTTTCTTGGCAGTTTAAACCTTGACTGATCTCTGAGGGTAGATAGAAGAGTTAATATGTTCTTGGAGCAGAAGGATACAATAACCTTTATTTACCTTACATCACAAAATGGTAATTTTAATTAAAATGAGCAATGGTATCTCCAGGGACAGACGTTCTCCTTTTAAATTTATTTAACCAATGATTAGCTATTATGGTTCTTTGAATTAATTAGTCATTCTTGAGCTGGAGGGAATTAAAGAATTAAGAAATTCAGGAAGTACTAAAGTCAAAATGTGACATTACAGGATTTATGGTCACATTTATCATCAGAATGTAACTTTTATTTTGGCAATGATATTGCAAATACAATACAAATACAATTTTTAGTCTTGATAAACTTAATTTTTTGTACTCAATTTAAACACAGCCTTGCAAGCTGAATTTCATATTGATGAGTTTACATTCAGAGTTATTCAATTAATAGGTCATCTAGATTATACAGGTTTTAAGTGCTCCATTTAGATTTAACTTCTCTGAATGCAGATTAAATTTTTCACAATCTCAGCAATTGTTTAGTGACATTCTATTCATATTACATAAAGAACATTTTACCGTTTCTGTCACTGAGAACATGATATGCGTTTGACATAACTCATTAATTTCATAGTGTCTAAGAAGACAGAGGTTTGCAAATGTCACAAAGATACAAATTGCGATGTGTAAGGTTACCACCAAATCTGTAAATTTTCGCATTTTATTCATTGATGTAGACTCTTGAGAATTTGTCTACAGATGAACTTGAAATACTAAATTGTAGTACCTGACAAAAGATCTCCACCACTTTTGAGTATTGCATGAGATGTTTTTATACAGATGAATGGGCATATATAATGGATGCAATTATCTTCAGCTTTCTAATGAGCAGTTGTAGTAAAAAACTGCAATTTTAGGTAGAGGTGAGAAAAACTCCCATGCAGGTTTGAAGTCCTGACCCTGTAAAGAATTGTGCTAGATTTTACAAATGTCATAGTATCAAGATCTTCCACTCAGTAAAGTATACTGTTGAGTTCCTTACCATTAGTGATAAGCACTCATTCTTCCCTTGGTTCCCATGGTTTGTGGGTTTATTAGCTTGCTGTTCTCAATTGTAAACACTAACAGTAGTAAGTATAGTGTAGTGAGAAAGATACGTATCCATGGTGGAGTGACAAGTCTATTTGGGAAGCATTGGCAATTCTAGGAATAGTATGCTGCATAGAAGATTATAGTATCAGAGGGAGCATGTGAAGTAATTGTCTGATGAGGCAAAGTTTCCTTACTCCCCTCTTCAAGCTCCTATTGTCATTAAGTGCCAGTATTTCAGTTTCTCAAGTAGTCTCTGCCTATTGCTCTTTCACTGGGAGGCTTTTTAAGCTTAATTTGAAGCTTAGATGCTTCTGGAGCTCTAACATTATTACCATTTATTGGAAGGAAAGCCTTTTTTAATAGCTAATGTTTGCTATCTCTCTGCTTCACTTGAAAGGAAGTGTAAAGGCAGGATGTTACCACCTGTTACTACATGGTTTTCACTTCCATAATATTTGGTAAAACTAAAGACTGAGCATGGCAGAAGACTGAGCACAGTAAGACAGAAGTGGTAGACACAAACACTAAGATGCAGGGTGGGAAGGAAAGAAGATGGCAGGAGCGAAGAGAAGTGAAATATGTCTGTGCTGATCTTGTAGTAGTTTGTTTTTAGGGGTGGACTTATTCCTTCCAGTTAAATTATTCTAGTTCTCAAAG